AGGAGAAGTAATTGACCTACTTGGAAAATGCCAGGTAAGATGTAAGCACCAGGGTAGATCACACAACCTAGTACTTCATGCTGCGCTTCATGCTCCAGTCAATTTACTGCGTCGTGACTGTTTGAAACACTTGCCACAAATATTAAATACTATCCATACCATTAGGGCTGATACCGCGGATCAGGTTCTTAAGTGATATTCAGACTTGTTTTACGAACACCAGTAGGGAAAACTGAAAAAGTTTAAAGCAAAGATTCATATGTTAGACTCTAGTACCCATAAATTCTTTAAGACCAGAACGCTGCCTCACGCCTTACAGCTCAAGAAGAAAGAATAGTTAAAGAGGCTCCAGCGAGAAGATATAATGGTAGCAGTTCAACAAGCTGAATGGGTGGTATCAACAATAGTCCTTTTGCTTACACCCGACGGCAGCGCACGGAGTTGTGACGAGTACAAAGTAACAATAAATCGCGGTGCAATCATAGACCGTTATCCAGTGCCAAAAATCCAGGATTTGCACTCCACTATATCTGTTGGAGTCAAGTTTATCACACTAGATTTGAGTCATGCTTACTCCCAGGTGGAATAAGAGACGCTACGTACCCTTATCCAACAACACTAATGAGAATACAGGGAGTTGGAAGATGGTCATACTTCTGCATTTGGCCTTAGGGTTGAGAAGTCTCATACGGAAGGAATAATAAGAGGGAGAGAAGAGGGACTTACCGGAATACCTTAATGCCCTAAGCAAATCTTCAAGGTCAAGGAGTCTACACCTTGTCAACAACATACCATCACAGACAGCCGGCTGTCGTGCAAAGATAAGGCGGCGTCGACGAGACAGCTTCCTTGCGGCTTTCACGTGATGCAAGACACGCTCCGACAGTAGATTGAAAAAAGGCTAGCAATAGACATTTCAGTGACGGAGACACAGTGCTATCCGAGTCACATGGCTTTTGGCTCAGTTCTGAGATCCGAAAAATCTTTCCTGTAGATGCAGTAATGCCCAAGAGCCCCTTAGTAAACTTGCTGAACTTCGGCTAAGTTTAGCAGTAAATACTTGGAGCCGGATTTCCCTTACCGCTACTTAGTTTTGCTCAGCGATTACCGATGCCGACATCGGGATCCAGGGATTGTCATTCTTCCAAAATTATCGAAACAAATGAAGAACCGGCATTGTTCCGAAGTAAGGCACCGAGGTATAGTGTGAGTCAGTGGATGGTCCTGGAATATGAGTCTCCAGATCGGTTTGATGTCGCTTGCACTGACAATAGGTATCCAGTGGTAGTCGTCTGTTTCTCCCGCCGTCCATCCAGAACTTACGTTCCCGCCTGACATCGACATTGGCGAAAGGTTTATCTTTCAAGCCGCAGTCAACCCGAAGAGCAAAGAGATCAAGAAGAAATCAACGAAACCTGACCATTCAGAAAACTACTCGCGTTTAATGTTTCTAGACATAAAATGATTCACACGCATTACCAGGCGAACCCCATTTGCAAGCGTGAAGACCATGTTCTGCATGCCGTTTCCGGAGAGTACGACCTAGAAGTGTTAGCTCGGAATGACCCCAGTTTCCCAGAAAAATCTGAGAAAGCGTCAAATACTGGGAATCGAAACGTTAATCTACTCTGCAGGGCATTCGGGTGGTTTGATTTATCCGTTTACCAAGTGATGCTTAACACGTACGTTAAGCCTAGTATGGAGTATGCTATCCAGGACTGGTAGCCCAGGCAGAAGCTAAATCTTACCGCGCATGAGGCTCCACAATAAATAGCAACCAAGTACGGAAAGAAATAGTTTCGCTTTTTGTGCTCACTCAGGCCATGGGCCCTAATATTGTACAACAGTCAGTATCGGTACCTACGACGCTACCTTACACTGACATACAAGATTCTGATGGACCCCAACCACGTTTGTTGCTACCTTATGGAACTTGGGAATCACCACTTTTTCTTCCTCCGTGTGTGCTAGCATTAGAATTTACCCCGCCGAATCACGTTGGTTCCACCCTCACACTGTCTTTGTTCAGAAAAGTCTACAGGTTAACCTAACTCACCGACGTCACGATGATTAACAAGTTTAGATGGAGAAACGCTTAGCAAAGGACAACCATTTGCTCACCAGCATTCCCAACATTATCAAGGTATGCTCCTCTACGTAAATGTTTACGTGCACGCTATGGCGAGTAAGCCAAAATGCTCAGCAGTTCGCCGCTATGTTACTACATTTCGTAGTTCTCATGCTGACTATTCCATCGAACCTGTCAGACACTTCCTCGTTTACCCGTAATATACCACTGCTTCATTGTTGCCATGTAAGCGTATTCGTGTAAAGACGGTCCCAGATGCAAAGTTCGATTTGGAGGACACGCAACCTCTACTGAGATCTCGGTTCAACTTGAGGTTGATCTCAGTCATTTCGATCGCAAAGACCGAATCCGAGATGGAAGTATTTCGGTGTTGTTTTTGGAAGGAGCAGCACCGAAGTACTTTCATTTAGGTCACAGATGCTTCGAATTGAATGTCCTGATACTAATATACAGTGAATTATGAGATTCTCTCAGTGCGCGCACAATTCAGTAATGCGTTGGATACATCCATCCTTTCCATTTAGACCGTCACCGGTGAGCTGAATGGGCTGGGCTAACTCACTTTTGACGAAGAAGTCCCGCATAACACGAGTGACCGACAAATATCCACTAGAGTGTCTACTAGAGCGCCCTAGGTGACCGACTTTCTATGCCCCTGGAAGTCCAAGTTGGACATCGTTTGGACACAGTACGGTCACTCCGAAGCCTTTCACAGCGCACCTGTACCGTGAATGAACTTCTTCTGGTTGTAAATATCGTCAACAGTAGGCGGAAATCGCTCCAACTGTGTCTAAGTGGGACGGCCTCGGTTACAAACGGTCACTCGGGGAGCTCAAACGGTCACTCGTGCTAACTGCAAGTACGATTTTACTAAAAATAAAGTCTTATCGACAAAGAACAGCGGTGCTAGAGGTCTTTGATAATATTTAACGACAGATTTGGACATGCCACGCCATTTGTTTTCATGTATGCTTTTTGCCTCTATGAGTGGTCGAAAACACGCCCAAGTGGGACGGATAGCCGTCCACCTGTGCGAACAGGGGTGTTATAGGAAGGTATGATTCATGACTGAATTATGGGGCCGTTCGTAAATGCTGATTTCCATTATTCAATGTACTTTTTACTCTGCGGCAGTAGTTCGTGAACGTAGACGCTTAGTGACACAATCTCTACTCCCCTCTACTTAAAAGTGAAAGTTCGCGGCAGTAAATAAGAGTGATTATAAAAAGCAGTAGGGCAGTACATGCTAACGCTTCGCTGTCATGCAGACGCCAGCGGTTGTGCATTGGTTGGGATAGAGTAGAGACACCCAGACGCTTGTGTCTCGGGACAATCACACTAGTTCTATAAAGAAACCGGGCCCTATAGCCATAATGGCGTACACTTGGGTGGGCCGCGCGTACGAATGTGCATTTCGTAAAAGTGACTGGTCGGTATACATACGTATGGACTTTATTAGCGATCGCTCGATAAACGCACAACACAACATAAACCTATGGGTCGCCGCATACTCCTGCATAGGCAAAAGGGCTACGGGATCAGAGATCTTTTTCTTGGTTGGATTAGCAACATTCTTCTCAAAGGGAAACTGCAACCGCGTGTTACGGGATCACTTTCTAACCCGACGGACATGAAATATGGTGTCCCACGAGGCTCAGTGCTGGGAGCGCACCGATTCCTTGTGTTTATCAATGACCTCAAGGTATGCTGCTTTTCACCCAAGACGTCAAGATATGGCGAGCAATTAATACCAAGCAAGACCACGATCGACTCCATGACCTAAATTGCATTGATGAATGATCAACGAGGAAGCTACTTCAGTTGAACATAGCTTAGTGCAAGGTGATGCATCCGTCTCATAAGCCAGAGAGCGTTTACAAACTTGGAGACCACACCATGTAGAAGGCCGCTCAAGAACGTAGCCTGAGTGTACTGGTCCAGGACGATCTCGGATGCTCAAGGCGTCAAAAACCGGCAATCAACATGTTGACCTACTTTGTAGAGCATTCAGTAGATTTGACCCATCAATCCTCCCCCAAATGCTTAACGCCAAGGTGCGACCGCACGTGGAATACGTCATCCAAGCGTGACAGCCTTGGCAGAAACAGGATCTCGGTGCTCTCGAGAATCCTCAACGAAGAGCAGCCAAGAACGTTAGGGATCTCTTTAATCTGCCTTATCAGCTCAGACTGAAGCCTCTAAAAATCCACAGCAGTCGAGGTTGGCGATCGCGGGTGGATCTCACAATGGTTTAGCAGATTCTGAAGAACCCAGACCACAGTTGCCGCCAGCTGCTGGAATTGAACCCCAACCCTAACCTAAGAGGCCATCCTCTGAAACTGACCTTGCGGTATAGCCGGCTGGAATACCATAAAAACATTGTTCTCTCCGAGTGTGTCAGTCGTGGAACCCTCACCCAAATCATGTCGTTTCTGCCCCCAATCTAACGATACTTAAAAAACCAGTTGACGAAGCGTTGTCTCACTTGCATTTCATTTAGTAAATTGTTAGCCAGGGTGTTACAAAACGCAATCAAACAGTGTGTTTCCGAAGTCCCAAACAATGGATTTATGGATTTATACTTATAATACGCGAACATCTCTATTCTACACATGTCTAGGATGATTCCACCAAGCAGTTTTCACTTGAGCACAAATTTTTATTTTCGCTATAAGTTTCATCCCACGGAACTTGTTAACCATTGCTTTTTACCCGTACTGCACCAGTGTTCCATTGTTTCAAGAGAGGACTTAAGCCTGCTGCCTTGAAGTTGTAATTCAAAATGTCCGTCAAACACTCAGTACTGTAATCTGTGCATACAAAAACGGATGGAAGCAAGGAGAATCTAATTATAGTGGCAGCGATATGATGATTATAATGAGGGCGTCTAGAAGACGCGCAAAGCACTCACTTCCTCTGCCGTCACCACTCGCGATAACTTTTGGGTTTACAAATTCCGGCCTTTTACCTGTGAACCAGGCACTCAATTGCATCAGTTTCGAAGATGACTGGGGAACAAACATAGCGACTCTTCTCTCGTGCCTGTGCTTGTAGAAAGTGGAAGGAACCAAAGCTGACGATAGGTATAATAGAATAGATATTGGTGCCAGAAACACAAATCAGTTCTCAAAATGTAGTTCAATTTTTGCGAGTAGAATGCTAGGTGTACTAATAACCAAAATGATGCAGGAAAACCTTCGAACTTGACTACATTTATATCCTGACCACCTCACTAATTTTACAGGTTTTACTTAGCTTGAGCATCCATTAGATAAACCGTAGAATGACCACCATTGTAAGTTGTATGTTGGCCACTTGGTCTATAGCAATCATCATTCCGTAAACCTTTATAATTTGACCGTGTGTGGGTTTACTGTGCGACGGTCGCCCAACAACTCGTTTGTTACAAACTACGGCATACGTAGCAGGATTTTGGAATGTTTGAAATTTTCCTGACCCACAATCACTGTACTTTACGGTTCCCCAGGCGTTCGACGATACATGTTTTCCATCTGTGCGCATGCATTGTGTCCCACCCATTAAGTGAGCAGACGCATGTGTGTTTACCTCGCACGAAGTGTCCCCACAGAGCTGCGGCCACGGATTGACTTTGAACTTATTGCCTAAACACGCACCCATTGCACAAACAGCAATCAGGAGTGTGAGTACCTGTCTAACCAACAAATAACAAGTTCAAACCTAACCTGTTCAGTTGCTTCTGTGATAAGAGAAAAAAGCAGCAATTGGCTTTTTATTAGAAATGTTTAACTTTGGGAAAAACACATTGCGTTTTGTTTCATTGCAATAGCATATGACTTAACGGCGTTTGCCATGTAAACGTTCATCTAGTATGGTCAAAACAAGAGGTAAAGTGAAAGGGAAGTTTATACCGTCCTGCTCCCGGCGGGAAATTTAGGTACACTCAGTTTTTTCTATAGGACCACGATATGTCGACCATCACACTACGTCTATCATTTTGGTCTAGTCCCCTGCGTGGTCAAATTATGGGCTTACTGTAATAACAAATGTTTTTTGACCAAGCCTGCTCAGACAAAACCATTCGAACGAACATGTGCTACGACTTGCATGGTGTTCGTTCCACTTGGTGTAAATAGCTGAGCACCTTCAGCTAAAGTGTGATGATGATGATCATTATGATTCAAGCTGTCATTTCCATTGATCACCAGATCTAGTTACTAGACTGCTGATTATATGGTTGGCGGCATCCGGTTTCGGATTTGCCTCCGAAACCGGATGCCGTCAACCATATAATCATTTACCAGCACCGCGCTGATGCCGATTAGATAATCGGAAACCTTGTCGTCTTGTAGATGTCGGGCCCATGTGGCAACAATGGCGGCTTATCAGACTCGCTTTGCTTAGGCCCTCGCGACCGCATGTGCTAGAGTATCATGCGCTGGACGTTGACGGTTAGAATCTATGGACGCGTGTCGCCTCCGTAACCGGCGTTTCTTTTCGCCATGCAACAGTGCTTTCTCACACACCTGGGCATCCACCCTCTGGATATGCTGACGCCATTCCGAACATCTTAAATCAAGGTTAATTCCTTATACACCCCCTGATCATGTCATGGCAACATAACTTCGCTTTTCCCATGTTGCACTTTTATGCAGTAAGTTGTCCATACAATATCAGCTTCGGCGGCCGATATGCCCGACCCACCTCAGGTGCCGGAGCGGAAGTATGCAGTCCACTGCATACCTGTCCTTGTCGCACAGCAGTACCGTGTCTGAAACTAGGTCAAACCAACCGATACGCAGAACCCGTCGAAGACACTGTTGACGAAACCGCTCCAGACACACAACGTCTTTCCTGTAAATCCTCCACATTCCGCCGCCGTAAAGAAGAACGGACAGCACCATACACTAGTATACCATCAGCTTTGTTCCAACGGTAAGGTGGTGGCTGTTTCACACACGTTTATCCGATTTATCAAATGCTATAGCCGCTTTCGATACGCAGGCGCACAGCTCGCTCATCATCTGCAGGTCGGTTGATAGTACGCTCCCAGGGTGGCGAAATTGCGATGCTGTCTCCAAAATGTAATCGGTACTCTGCTAGGCTCATGGATCCCATTCCTAGTGAATGCTGGAAAAGACAAACAGTCTTATTTGTGTTGATGATGATCCAGAATTTGGTCGCTGTAGAACTCAGAGCACTAGTCATGTGCTGCAACTCATCCGCGCTGTGTGCAAACGACGCACAGTCGTCGGCAAACACAATATACGAATGATTGCCTCAAAAACTAGGGTTCTCTCATCGGAAGGACGTATGTTCAGCAACCCACCATACATGCGGTGCTCCACACGGACACAGTTAGCACAAGCCGCATCAAACGCAATTGATGACTGCTGCGTGAGTGAAAGCCGACTCCAGGATTCCAACACAGTCCATCAGCTGTCGTCACCAGCCCAAGCATACACCAGATTTTATCTTCGCTCTTCTGGTGAAACTGAGTTGACCGCATCTGGGCAAGCTGTTGTTGGGATCGCAATTAAAGATAGGGCCAAGGCCACCCTACTTGATTGGATTCCAGTCAACAGTCGCCTATGGGCTATGAGGCTCCGTGGATGCTGCAAGTTTATGAACAATGAACAATGATTTATCAAGTGTAAAATAGCATGTGCTTGATAAGTCCCGTAGGATGGTTGGAGAAAAATTAAAATTTAAAGGATCGTCGAATAGGCAAATCGTTATTGTAAGCGTTCACCGAGTTAAATGTACTACTGCATTACGATAGTTTGAAGTGGGAATGGGATGTGCACACACCAAATCGTATAAAGTGCCGTTATATTTTAGTAAATGCGTGAGAAAGAAACAGGAAAACGACGTTGCTCAGTCGTGGGTTGTTTCATTTGACAGCTGTGACATGTTAATCCAGTTTAGATACATTCAGGTTACTCACATGGACACTTCTGCATGTATCCTTACCGCCACGTTGTGGTGAGGGCCGTTAAGCTCATGGTTAGGTTTACGTTATTTTCTCCCCCAAGTGGAACGGACTATATTGAGTACTGTAAATTGGAAAGCTTTTCATCAGAGCGTTTTTTGAATAGTGTTAATGTAAGGGCAAGGATGACGCGAGTGGGAACAGCATTCCAGGCACTGGACATACGGAGGGAGAAAACGTTTCGTCGCCAATCAAACCGACTATAGCGCGTAGCCACTTTGGGCTGATGGTCTCTCAGGTTGGTATTTTGGCTCAGCTGCGACAGATTGCGACATGGGTAAGTTGAGTTCGTCAGTATTAAGTTAATTATGATTAGGTCTCCTCGCTGACGTCGATATACACCACTGTACAACCTCAGGGACTGCAGTCTGCATTGGTAGTAGAGATGAAACAATCCTCTAACGAGTTTGGTCGCTCTACGTTGTGAAGCTTCAAATGCATCAACGTCGTGCTTGCGCCAGGAACGCCAGAACTGGATCGCATATTTCACGTGAGGCCTCACGTATGCATTCAGCATTTACGGAAAGATTGATAGCTCAAAATTCCCGAAAGCCTTCGGTAAGAGTGCAAGATGTTGACTGGCTCTTCTGATGACTTTTCAGCCTGTCTCGAGCAACTAAGATCGTCCTGCACGATCACTCCTACGTCGTTTTCTTGAGAAACACGCTGAAACTGTTGGTCCCCAGGTCGATATTCATAGATAAGCTGATGGCGTATGCTTACGGGTTTGCACTTGATCATGTCGAACTGCAGCCGGTTATCGGATGACCAAACATAAGCCCTGTCTAGATCGCTGTGCAATGCCATGTGATCATCCGATATCCTGAAATCACGCCAAAGTTTGGTATCATCTGCAAATAGTAAGAAATTCGACTGCAGTACACTGCCAAGATCGTTATTGAAGGTGAGGAATAAACGTGGCCCCAGTACCGATCCTTAGGGCACACCAAACTTGACGTCAATTGGGTAGGAAATGGAACTGCAGACTCTCACATTCAGCTGACGTTGAGCGAGGAAGTTTCTGATCCAAACGAGTATAGGGTCACCGATTCCACATCTTCGAAAATTATGAAGGAGAATGCGGTGGTCCAAACGATCGAACGGTTTCGAGAAGTCCAGGTAGACGACGTCGACTCCCATTCTGGCATCGTCTGACTTTGTCTTGCTTGCTCGGGCTAGCAGCAAGTTTGTAGTACAGGATCGATTTCGGCGGAAACCGTGTTGCTGTGACACTAGGATGTGGTTGCTCTCAAGATATCCCATGAGCGCCTCTGCAATTATACGTTCCATTAATTTGGATAGTGAGTATGATTGGACGGTAGTTCGGTGGCTCCGAAAGATTACCATTTTGTAGATAGAAGTGACTAGTCCATGTTTCCACATAGTGGGAACCTGCATTTCGTCGAGACAACGTTGAAAGAACCGAGCTAATGGTTCGGCAAGGTTCATGGCCCTTGCCTTCAAGACCTTCGGTTTGATGTCGTCCACGTCAGGTGGGCTGTGCACGCGCAATGACATCAGTGTTTTCATCACATTGCATGCCGTGAACGATACGTGGTTTAACCCTGGTGGCGATGGAAGCTGTGTCAAAAGCGGATTAAATGATGAACCACTCAGGAAAGTATGGATGAAGTGTTGGCGAAGCACGCTGGCTGCATCTTGTCCGGTTTGCGCAAGACCATATGTTGCACTTAAAACCGCGATCCCGCGCTGCACTCTGCAGAGCTTGTTGATGTGTCTATACAGCAACTTGGGATTTGTAGTGAATTTTGTCGCTAAGTTCTGTTGATGCTGGAGTTTGTCATCGCGGATCAACTTGACGCAGTGGTTTCGTTGAGTTGTGTGAACACCCCAGGTCAGGGTACTTGGACAAACATTGTAAGTACGTCAGGCTGAATCCCCTAATGCCATGAATTTTCTAGTACGGTTCCTCAGGAACGAATTCACTTGCTTCGGGCGGAGAACCTCGCTTTCTGACGCACTTGCTCCTAGCTCAGTGAATTGGGTGACGAACCACATCCAGGCGACATCGGGCGGCTTCTCGGCTAGGAAGGACCAGTCGGTTTCTTGA